GAGGTGTCGGTGCGCAGAAAGAACGACGGGTCGGCAGTAGCAGGAGCAAACCCAAGAACCGCAAGTGTAGTCCTCAGTGTGTCGTGCCACTCACGAGGCGCTTGGCGGAGACCGTAGACTGGCCGCCGAAGGCTCCACTGGGTACCAGGAGGAAACGACCTAGTGAAGCCAGGTGGGCGGCGCAGCCAGACCTCCTCGTGCAGGCTGCCCTGCAAGAAAGTTGTGCTGAAGTCAAGAGAGTGAAGCTAAGACCAGAGACAAGGTAACGGGAGGCCATGCCTCGGAGACGAGGCAGGGAGGGGTGACCAAAGCGGTGGTGCCAAAGGAGAGTCCGGTGGGACAGGAGACGACACGAGCAGGGAGCAGACTCAGGTACAGTCCTAGACGCCGCAGCAAACACCAGACCCGACGCAGCTACCCGACCAGACACAGCGACCGGAGGAGACTCAGTAGTCAGTGTGTACAGGCTCGACCCCGGCTGACGGGTAAAAGTGGCCAAGTGTCGGCCCATCCGAGCACAAGTACAGCGGGTCACCCGCTGACTCGCAGGAGTGAAATGGTCAACCCCCCCATCCTGTAGATCAGCACCACTCACCAAGTTCGTGGAGAACGAGGGGAGGTAGAGACCTGAGAGGGTGCCAGAGGGGGCCGCCGGACACGGTAAGACAGTGGAGAAGTGGGCAAGGACGGGACCCCCAGAGGGGTCCGCCAGGGAGACCGCAACTGGCCGACTAAGCGGCGTAAGCGTGGTGCGGTCTCTGAAGAAAGAGCGGGAAGCACCCGAGGCAAGGGTGAAAGTGTGCAAGGCCTGAGCCGACGTGGTACCTGAGAGAGCAGACTCACCAGCACCTGGGGCAGCAGACGCACTAGCACCTAGAGCAGCAGCCTCACCAGCACCTAGAGCAGCAGCCTCAATGCCCGGGTCAAGCGGAACACACAGGTAACAAACACCCTCATCACTAGTAGACACAACATACATGGCAGCAAGAATAGCATCATAGTCTAGATCAAAGATAGCAACTCCCGACCTAAGCAGCTCGCCCCAGCGGGGGATCTCAGTGGCGTCAGGGAACTGGAGACGCCAAGCGTCCGTCAGGCGGCCGAAGCAGTGCTGGGTGGTGTGCGGGCCACCGTACGGCTCACCAGTGCGGTCGCCGGTACGCAGGACGTAGGCACAAGGACCAGGACCCCCACCCCGCTGACGCGTAGCGTACCACTCACGAAGCTGCTGGGGGGGCGGGTCTCACGAGCGCGCTCCTGCTCCTGGCGCTGACCACCACTGAAGCCGCCCCACTGCGCAGAGCCACCCCGACCAGCTCCACCTCCACCGCCGCCACCTCCGCCACCGCCGCCACCGCCACCGCCTCCGCTCCCACCGCCACCGCCACCGCCGCCGCCACCTCAGCCTCCACCGCCGCCACCGAAGCCCCCACCCCAGCCACCACTCCCACCGCCACCCCCACTCCCTCCTACGCCTCCACCGCCACCTCCACCACTCCCGCCAGCCCCTCCAGCGCCCTTGCCCCCCTTGCCCTTGCCGGTGCGGCGTCTCCCGCTAGGGGCAGACGCAGCGCCGACCGACTCGGTGCCAACTAAGTGAACAGCAGCAGCAGAGGCAACAGAGGGCAAAAGGGGGGAGGGGGAGCACCCCTCAAAGAAGGGGGCACGAGGGTCACCACGAGAGGCTCCTACAGCGACTATACTCTTCTCTGCTGCCAGGAGGCGCTCCTCGAGGAGGTCAACGGTGAGTGTGGTGGGGAAAACCGAGAGGAAGTGGTCCCTGACTGAACGAAGGGAGTCAGGGAGCCGGGTGACTTGGTAGTAGAGGGTGATGTAAATTTGGGGGGGGGGGGGTTCTTGGCGCAGAACTCAGCAGGAAGCGCAGCGCGGTAGCGGGCGTCACTAGTGCGAAGGTGCGTAATGAGGTCAGCAACTGTGGGAAAGGCGGCTAGGTCAGGGAACAGGTACGGCAACATGAGGCGGCTAAGAGCAGTAGTGGCAGGGGAAGATTAACATGTAATAACAGCGTCGTACAGAGTGTTAGCACTCTTGTACTGACTTAAGTGCGCGCGCTCAGAGGACGGCAAGTGACTGCGCACAGCAAGACGGGCAGCAGCATCGCGTGTGGCCCACTGTGAACGAACAGTGCTGTCAGCATCGGCAGCAGGGGCAGTAGAGGCGCCAAACGTGAGATCAAACAGGGAGAGACCGTCTTCCATATCCCACCGTAGGAAAAGCAGCAGATCATCGACCCAGACCTCAAAGTCAACAGCCCGACCCTCAGCATCAAAGACGAGGACGCTAGGGGTAGCCATGACAGCAGTGGCAGCAGTAGCAGCGCAGCACGACGATGCTGTTACCAGGGCAGAGGGCCGCAAGTGTTGGGGCAGGGCCGAGGCGCACCGGCAGGGACGGGCCGAGGCGCGCAGGTAGGGCCGAGGCGCGCCGGTAGGGGCGGGCCGAGGCGCGCCGGCAGGGACGGGCCGAGGCGCGCCGGCAGGGTCGAGGCGCACCGGCGGCCGCAGTCAGCGGCGGCGGTGGCTGCGGCTCCGGCTGAGGTGGCGGAGGCTGCTGCTGGTGGCGGCTGCGGTGGGTGCGGCTGGTGCTGCCCCGGGAGTGAAGGCGGCGGCCGCTGTTGTCGGCGGCTCCGACGGTGAAGACTTCCGCTGTAGGGGCGGCGGTGGCTGCTGCTGCAGGGGCGGCGACGGGGGGGGGGGCGCGAAGGGCGGCTACGGGGCCATGAAGGGCGGCAACGGGGCCGTGTCAGGGCCGTGAGGGGACGCAAAGGGCGGCGACGAGGCCGAGACGGGGCCGCGAGAGGCCGCGAAGGGCGGCGACAGGGCCGCGGAGGGCAGCGACGGGGCCGTGGAGGGGCCGCGAGGGGCCGCGAAGGGCGGGGACAGGACCGTGAGGGGGCCGCGAGGGGCCACGAAGGGCGGCGCAAGGGGCCGTAAGGGGCCGCGAAGGGCGGTTCGAGGGGCCGTAAGGGGCCGCGAGGTGCCATAAGGGGTCGCGAAGGGCCGTGAGAGGGGTCGCTAAGGGCGGCGTGAAGGGGCCGCGAGGGGCCGTGAGAGGGGTCGCTAAGGGCGGCACGAAGGGGCCGGGAGGGGCCGTGAGAGGGCGCGACGGGCCGCTAAGGGCTAGGGACGCGACGGGAGGGAGGGCACGTGGGGCGCGACTCGGGCAGGAGCGAAGCGCGCTCCGGGCAGGAAAAAAAATCGTGGTGGTCCCTAGGAACCGTTCCCACTAGGGAACCTGCTCTATACCATGTGAAGAAACGAGGAATGGGAATGACTAAGGGAAAAGCTGGGTACAAGAACAAACCCTAGAAATGTGTACCCCATATGTGCTACCCCACTATAGCCTACATCAGCTAAGTCATATATATCTGACAGGTTTAAGGCGTGTTCTAGCGTTTTAAGGATAGGCGGAATTTACTAATTATGAGGGGCGATCATACTGAGGCGAGTTCGGGCTCCTCTGTGAGCATTGGAGGCTCAGAACTACAGGACGTCCTAACAACGCTAGCACAAGCTAAATTGACGGCGAAGCCAACGATTGGGCTTAGCGAGGCCCAACGGTTCCATGGAGGAAATTATAGCACGTGGCGACTCAAGTTCATTCGTAGAGCGGAGGAAGTCAATCTCTGGCCATACTATCATCCGGACAAGGAGACAGGAGAGGGCGTCCCACCATCTGCAAAAGAAAAACCAGAAGAAAATGCGTCATTCAAAAAAAGGAGTAAGCAAGCCTTTTTTCAATTGTGCCATTCCGTTTCTGACAGCATTACAGTGGGGCTGGATCAATTTGCGGGAGAGGAGAACTCTGCCGAACGAGCCTGGGAGTACATGGAAGCTGCTTACCTTGGGCTTACGGATACGAACAAAGCAGCCGTTCGGAAGAAACTCCTTCTATTGAGTATGGAGCCGGGGGAGAGGGTCATTGACTACATGAATCGAGCAAAGGGGTACAATGACGACCTCAAGGCTATGGGGGCAGCTGAAACTGAAGGAGAAATCAGCTGAAACTGATGGGGTACATCATTACTGGGCTGCCCAAGGAGTGGGAATCAGAGATAGGGCTCCTAACCTGCAACCCACCAGCGAATATGACCAAGCTGTTGGAAACGCTCCAAGCTCTGGAGCGGGTGAAAGCTGATCGTCTCAGGAAGGAGATTAGCTTGAGGAGAATGGGACCAGCCACTCATGCTATGGTAAACGCAGCAGTGACAGGGAAAGGATACGGAGGTTTCGGGGTGTGTTTTCAGTGTGGGAAGAAGGGCCATAAGCAGATAGACTGCTATGACAACCCTAGGAGCAGAAATTTCAAGGGAAAGTGGAGCGGTCCGCAGCAAAGGGGCCTGCAAAATGGAGGGCAGCAGAGAGAGGGGGAGGTTCGAGGCGATAACAAGATGCAGAGAGGCGGATTTTCAGGGGCATGTCACTATTGCCAGAAAATTGGGCATAGGGCAGCCAACTGCTACTCAAACCCGAACAGCAGGAACTACAGAGGGGCAAATCAGCAGCAGAATCAACCAGCAGCAGCAAAAGCAAATGCAGTGGAAGCTGAAAACAGTGAGGCGGACGTAATTTTGGGGGGAGCTCACAAGGCAAACGTGGCAAGGGCATCGGGAGTGTGTTTGATGGCAAAGGGGTTTGGTGAAGCTGCGTGGTTCATGGATAGTGGCTGCACGCAACATATGACCAATCATCGTGAGTGGCTTACCAGATTGAGGGAGTCTAGGGTACCCTACGTTCTGTTGGGCGATGAAGGGAAACTAAGTGTGAAGGGGGAAGGAGAGTTGCTGCTCCAGGGAGAATACGGGGAGCTGAAACTAGAGAATGTGCTTTTAGTGGAGAAGCTGTCACTGAATCTGATCAGCCAAACTCAACTTGACAGCACGGGGTGCAAAACCTTCAGCAACAAAGGAAAATTGTGGGGTTTTTTACAAGAACTGGAAGGTGGTTGCAGAAGGGAACAGAAATCAGGGATTGTATGAAATGAAGCTGAGGAAGAAGGGACTGGAGGATGAGAATGCCACCTACCTGCCATCTCTCGAAGGGGACCTAGCTAGGGAGGAGTTGAAGGCTCGGCTTGGTGGCTTACATGTGAAGGAGCTGCAGCAGGAAGCTTCAGCCATGGTGGTTGGGATGGAGAAGGTGGAATTGGAGACCTTGCACAAGCGCATGGGGCATGCAAGCATGGATAGGGTCAAGGAGTTAGTCAAAAAGGGCATGGTAAAAGGTGTGGCACTGAAGGAGGGGGCTGGAAGCAAGGGAAAATGCAGCAAGTGTGTTGAAGGTAAAATCACAAAGTCCCCTCACCCCCACCACCAGGTACATGAGCCTTATGGCACCTTGGACATCGTAGCTGCCGACGTGTGTGGGCCTATGAGGGTGGCGTCACGTCACGGCAGCCGCTACTTCGTTACCTTCACTGATTTGGGGACAAGGCACACATGGGTGACGGAGCTGAAAGATAAGGCAGAAGTGTTTCCTAGCTTCGTGACTTGGATGGCAGAAGCGGAACGGCAAAGTGGGAAGGAGGTGAAAGTTTTAAGGACAGATAATGGAGGGGAGTTTACCGAGATGTCACGATCACCCGGGATGTTGTCTTCTACGAGGAGGTGAACTACCTGCAAATGGAAGGGAGTAGAGAAAGAGATTGCAGCAGCACGGGCAGCAACTGCACCGGACAAGGTGGAGGATCTTTTGGAGGAGAAGGAGAGTGAGGGAGTTGGGTATGAAGGAGATGAGGAACTCGAAGATGTGGAATGGGCAGATTCAGTTGATTGGGTGTGGGAGAAAGCACCAACCAGGGAAGCGGGTGAAAACAAGGGAGTGGAGATAGCAGGGGAGCAGCCAAGCAATGAAGTAGCTGAGGGTGGCAATGATGAAGCGGCTGGAGAAGAGGGAGATGAAGACTCAGCAGCTGAAGGAGACAGTGATCCTTGGAAGCTCCTAGATAGTGAAGACAGCAATGGCAAGATGAGAGAGATAGAGGACCTGCTTAAGGAAGGTGCCATCATCATTGGAAGGGAAGTGAAATCTGGAGAAGAGAATGAAAAGGCATTGGAGGGTTTCAATGGAGATGAGGCTGAATCGCCTGCAGAGGAGTTGGGGAAAGGAAAGAGGGTGAAGAAACAAAACCCTCGGTATGTGCAACTGCTGATGACATGTTGGAAGGACATCCATACTCACCTCCTACTCTCTGCCACAGCTACTGACCTAGTCTCCAATGAAGTAAAAGTGACACACAACCTGCCCAAAGAACCAGTGAGCATCGAGGAGGCGCTAGAGGGTTCAGAAAGGGAGCAGTGGAAAGCGGCAATTGAGGAGGAGTTGAATACCCTGGCTGAAAGGGGCACATGGGAACTAGTACCTATGCCGGAAGGGAGGAAAGCCGTGGGAGTGAAGTGGATTTTTAAAATCAAGGAAAGGTTCAAAGCAAGGCTTGTAGCCAAGGGCTACACTCAGGTGGAGGGGAAAGACTACCAACAAAATGAGATCTACGCTCCAGTGAGCAAGTTGGCAACGGCACGAGTCTTTCTCAAGGTGGTAGCAGCAAGGAAATACTTCATGGTGCAACTGGACATGAAAAATGTTTTTTTTGTATGGGGTGCTCAAGGAGGATATCTACCTCGAGCAACCACCAGGGCATGACGACGGCTCGGGCAGAAAATGCAAGCTCAACAAGGCATTATATGGGCTGAAGCAGAGTCCTAGGGAGTGGTACATGGCGATGGATGAACGGCTGCTGCAAGGGGGATTCCAGAAAAGTGAGTGTGATAAGGCGTTCTACTGGAAGGGAGAAGGGAAGGAGAAGTTGTTCTTGGTGCTATATGTGGATGACATCTTGGTGGCTGGGGTGTTAGAGGAGGAGGTAGAGTAGGTGTCTGCTCATCTTGCGGAAGTTTTTCAAGTGAAGCAGATTCCGAGGACCACACTCTTTCTCGGCATGAATCTGGAGCGACGTAAGGAGGAGAGGAAGATGTTCCTATGCCAGCAAAAATATTGCAGCAGGGTGCAGCAGAGGTTTGGCAACGGCTACACGAAGGCAATTTCTACACCATTGAGTGGGGTAGCTGAAAGTGACAGTGAAAGGGAGGAGGATGTCAACCAATGGGGCTGCAAAAAGAAAGCTCTGTAAGTATATCAGTCCATGGTGGGGTCTATCATGTATCCGGTCTCATGCACGCGTGTCGACATGGCATACGCAGCTAGCTATCTTGGGCAAAAAGTGCAGCAGCAAGGGGAGAGAAAATGGAGAGAGATGAGGAGGACTATTGACTACCTACTGCAACATGAAGATGAGGGGCTGTTATTCGAAGGAGGTGAAGAGACCTTGGAGTTAGTGGGGTATGCGGATGCTTCACGTGCATCCGATAACAAAACAAGGAAGGGAGCATATGGTTACGTGTTTCTGCTCGGCGGGACAGCAATCATGTGGCAAGCGAAAAGGTTGGCTGACATAGCACTCTCTAGTGCGGAAGCGGAGTACATGGCTCTGTTTTTCGCGTGCCAAGAGGGTGTTTGGCTGAGAAGGCTACTCAAGGAGATGGAAATCAAGGTGGAAGGGCCTACGGTGATTCGCACGGATAGAAAATCTGCCGTCGAATTGGCTCACAATGACAATTGGCACGGGAGGACCAAGCATATGGATGTGAAGTATCATTGGGTGCGTTCCAAGGTGCGTAGCAAGGAGTTCCAGTTTGAATTCGTATGTACGGAAGCACAAGCAGCAGATTTTCTGACTAAGGTGTTCCCAAGGGCAAATTTTGAGCGTTGCAAGATAGAGGTTGGGATGCGTACCTTGGCTGAATTGCAGGGGAATGTGGAGCAGGCCTAGAGGTGGTTTAAGGTGAAACGTACGAGGGATAGTGCATAAGCTGGTGGTTAGCAAACCACAGGGGAGATTGTTGAAGGTGGTTAGCTAACCACTACCTAGAGCGACCTACATCAACCTAAGAAGGACCTACTGTGACGAGATGTGACTAAGGGAAAACGAGGACCTAAGAAGAAGAGGAGCTATCTATGTTGGGACGGTGGAAGGAGAAACACGGTGGCGGCACGACCTGCAGTGGGAATCGAAGAGAAGAAGGGGAAGTGTGCAGAAGTGGAGTAGAAAGCGGCTGAAATGTCGAGATTTCAAGCGACGTGACGAGAAGTCACGTCGGGTCAAAGGCGCATCCAAGGAAGTCTGAAATTCGAACTCGAGGCGCGTTCGGTGCATGGTTGGATTTGGAAATTGAGCCGAGTACAAGTCAGCTCGAAATTAGATGCGGCGCGAGGGCGAAATCAGAAATCCTTTTGCTTATAACTTGCTTTGTGTTTTCTGTTTTTGTATGCCTTATTCAATGAAATTACTTGAACTTTCTACCTTGGCGTTTTTCAGCAAATTCCTTCACACTGTTGAGGCCAGAGCTTCATGTGCTTGTTACTAAGACTCTGAATAGTCTTCATAGTCTAGACCAAGGGCTGCGCACGTACAAGAGGGTGCAGGGTTGGCTGCGGCAGAGGAGACGGATAGAATTGGGCCGCGGGCAGGGGTGAGTGGGAATTGTCATGAGCGTCATAGCAGATGTGAGAATCGGGCATTTTTTTTTGCTCGAAACTGGTGCGTGTATGCGCTTCCGTTCGTGCGCTTGCGTTTGTATACTTGCGTGCATGCGCTTGCATTCGTGCGCCCGTTTATAGACGCCTCTTGACTCCGTCCACCCTTCTCTCTCTCTAATCTCGAGGGTACATGTGCAGGACCCCTTCGCTACAGCGACGGCTCTTACAGTCACAGTCTCCTCCTCCATCGCCTCCATCTCTGCTGCTGACTGGGACGCCTGTGTGCTGGACGCGGCGGGCGGCGCGGAGAAGCACAATCCGTTTGTGTCACACGCGTTCCTGCAGTGCCTGGAGGAGAGCAGAAGCGCGTGTCGCGATGAGGGGTGGTTACCACAGCACCTCGTCACCAGGGACGACGAGGAGAGGGTGGCTGGGGTGTTGCCCCTGTACTTAAAAGGGAAAGTGAGCGTGTGCGTTCTTGTAAGGGTAAGGGTGTGTCTTAGAATGTTGGGATTGGTGCTGGGAGGAGGCCTGGTTACCCCAACAGCAGCAGGAGCAGCAGCTAGTGATGGTGCGGGGCGGCGCGGAGAAGCACAACTCGTTTGTGTCACACGCGTTTCTGCAGTGCCTCGAGGAGAGCAGAAGCGCGTGTCGCGAGGAGGGGTAGTTACCACTGACGGAATTGAGACTGAACTGATTGATTAAGAAAGAAGGCACTAGGCCTTAAGTACAAACGAGGTTGGGATGGGCAAGGCTAGGGAAAGGATGGGATGGGAATCCTAGCAAATCTCCAATTAGTGAGTTGGCAGATTTGCAGGATTACGAGGGAATCCCAACCAGATAGGGTTGGGATCACAAACTACACCCAACCCACAAATAACCTACGTGATATAGAATATAGTACACAAAGTGTTGACAGCCTAATTCTAACACACCCCCTAGGCTGCAACACATCAGCCACAAGGAAGCCCAACACCCATGGCCGAGAGGAGGCGGTAATGATCCTCGCGAACAAGCGACTTGGTAAACAAGTCAGCAAGGTTGCAGTCGGAGGCAATGTGTTCAGCCTTCAGCTGCTCGCGCTGCACCAGCTCCCGAAGAATGTAGTGACGGACTTCAATGTGCTTGGTGCGGCCATGGAAAACGGGGTCTTTGGTGAGATGAATGGTGCTCTCGTTGTCACACCAAAGCGTTGGGGTTGGTTGGGGATACCTCAGTTCTGTCAGCAGGAAGGAGAGCCAACGAGCCTCCTGTGCAGCCATGGTCCCGGCATACAGCTCTGCCTCACAGGTCGACAGTGAGACGGAGGACGACCGAGTGGAGCGCCAACTTACAACCCCACTGCCAAGGGTAAAGCAATACCCTTGGGACGAGCGCCGATCACTCTGGTCATCAGCATAGGATGAGTCACTGTACCCCTCAAGGCGAACCGGGGAAGTGCCGCCAAGTGTGAGCACATAATCCTGTGTGCCTTTGAGATAGCGAAGAACCCGCTTGGCGGCAGACCAGTGGTGGCGAGTGAAGCGACCAGGTGCAACGTAGCGGGACAGTACACTGACTGGATAGGCTAAGTCTGGTCGAGTGCACATCATCACGTACATGAGGGATCCCACAAGCTCGGGGTAAGGCTCGTCACAGGGCTCAGGTGAGGGAACGGAGGGTGCAGTGAGTTGGTGTTGCAGAGAGAGTGGGGTGGGCATTGATGCTGCTTCCTGCATCTGGAACCTCGTCAGAACGTTGTTGATGTAAAACTTCTGCGAAAGGGTGATGGTGCGGGCCGTGCGATCACGTGTGATTTCCATTCCCAAATAGTTCGTCAGCTTCCCAAGGTCCTTCATGGCCAGCTTCTCACCAAGTGCGGTTTTGACTGCTGCCAGCTCAGTCTGATCCTTGGTGACAAGGATCATGTCATCGACATAAACGAGGATGAAGAACCGGGAGGCTGTTGCTCGGATGAAGAGGCTGGGGTCAGAGGTGGATGGGTGAAAGTCGAGGGACCCTAAGGTGCTCTTTAGCTTGTTGTGCCATTCCCGGGGAGCTTGCTTGAGGCCATACACTGGCCGATTCAGCTTCCATACAGTGCCTGGTGGAAAAGGAGTTGGAAATCCTTCGGGCCGCTCCATATAGATTTCCTCTCGAAGGATCCCTTGCAGGAACGCAGAAGACACATCCATGCAGTCAACCTCCATGTCATCTCGAGCAGCGACATCGAGTAGAGTGCGCAGTGTGGGAGGTTTGGCGGTGGGAGAGAATGTCTCAAAGAAGTCCAGTCCACGCTTTTGGGTAAATCCCTTGGCACAGTACCGGGCTTTGAAGACAGGAAATTCGCCTGGAAGTTGTTTCACCCGAAAGACCCATTTTCCCTTCACAATGTTAACGCCGGAGGGAGGAGAGACGTCTGTGAAAGTTCCTGTGTGAATGAAGGCCTCACATTCTGCGACAATGGCCCCCATCCACTGAGCGGCGTGAGGACCAGAGACTGCTTCAGCATAGGTGAGAGGTGTGGGGATGGAAGGGTTGTCGGAGAAATTGAGGGTGGGAGAGTCTGCGATGTCTAGAAAGAGGGAGCATAGTGCGTGGATGGCTGAGTCGATATCAATCAACTCCTCATGTCTGTCTTCAAGGAGGGATGGCATGAGAGAATAATCACCCCCGACAGGAGGAGGATTGAGAGAGATGCGAACGGAAAGGGAGAACGGTTGTGGAGGTGTGCGAGAGCGGGTGCGAGAAGCGATGGGTGAGGGAGGCGGGGCCGGAGTAGGCGTAGCGGAAGGGGAGGTGGGGGTGGGAGGGAGAGTGGAGACAGGATCGGGATCAGGGGTGGGAGCAGGAGGAGGAGGAGCTGGGTGACGGCGTTGGTAGGTTTTGAGAGGAACGGGCTCGGTAGGAGGAGATGCGAGAGGAGATGGAGGATGGGTAGCGGAGGAGGGAGGGAGCGAGGGAGACTGTGTGGTACTGGAGGGGGAAGCGGGTGATGGGGGATCAGAAATGGTGGAGGGAGCGGGAAGAGGAGGAGATGGAGTGTCGGGAAGAGGGAGACTGTCAAAGTCAGCCCAAGTAAGAGAGGGAGGCGGAGGAGAGGGGGAAGCCTTGGAGGAGGGGTAGAATGGGTGGGACTCATCAAAGTAAACGTCCCGGCTGCGATAGAGCTTGTTGGTGGAAGGATGGAGGAAGAGATAGTCTGGCGAGTCTAAGTTGTGCCCGAGGTATACGCACGTGATCGTTTTGGGAGCAAGTTTGTCGCCAGCCGCACGACGGCCTTGGGAGTTGAGGAGGACATAAGAAGTGCACCCCCATACACGAAGAGGGCGGACGGATGGTTTTTGACCCGTCCATAGCTCAGCGGGGGTGGTGTGGGTGTGATGAGGATGGGGATGGAGATTGTGGAGGGCGGCAGCATGAAGCATGGCGTACCCCCAGAGAGAGGGAGGGGCGGAGGCGTGCGTGAGGAGGCAGCGAGCAATCTGCACCAATGTACGGTTCCGGCTTTCGGCAATACCGTTCTGTTGGGGACTGTCTGGGAGAGTGAAGGTCTGACGGATACCCTCAGTGGAGCAGTAAGCTTTGAGAGTGTTGTTGCGGAATTCACCGCCGCCGTCAGAGTGAAGGACCTTGATGGTGGTTTTGAAGTGTTTATGAGCCTGCTTCGCCCATTCAATGATTACGCCTGGGGCTTCGGATTTGGAGGAGAGAAGGTGGACAGACACATAGCGGGAGTAGTCATCAATAATGACAAGGAAGTAAAAGTGTCCACCGCGAGAGCGAACAGGAGCTGGGCCCCAAAGGTCCATGTGCACGCGATCGAGAGGTGCAGCGGAGATGGACTCAATGGGGGGATGGGGCTGTTCACGAAGCTTGCTCTGTGCACAGTCAAGGCAAGGCGGCCCTAGGGTGGAGGTAGGAGAGGGAAGTGAGGTTGGAAGCCCGTGGAGGAGTTGTTTTGTGGCAAGGTCTGAAAGCGCGCGAAAGTTGATGTGGCCAAGGCGGTGATGAAAGAGCATGGTTTTGTCGGAAAGGAGGCGGCAGTGACAGGTGGAGGAGTCAAGGGAAGGTAACGGGAGGTTTGTGAGGGAGCACGTTTGAATGGGAGGTACTACGAGCGTGTATAGGTTGTTGGAATTGAGAGTGAAGCGGGCTAGATGAATGCCGGTTTTGGCATCAAAGAGGTCACAGTAGTCGACATCATTGGGAAAGATGGTGATGACTCCTGCTTGTTGGATTTCACTTTGTGCCAGGAGGTTGTGGCGGAGGGTGGGGGCACAGATGCCAGTGACTGTGCCCGATGGAAATGCTGGACAAGGAACTGTGGAGGACCCATGGCATTGGATGGAGAAGCTAGAGTCGGCTCCGAGGAGTGGGATGGGAGCCTGGTAAGGAACGAACGCGGTTTGGTCTTTGAGCACTGTGTGGGTGGCACCACTGTCTAGTATGAACTCGATCCCTTGTGTGTTTGAAACCCCGATGTACTGTGACCCCTTCTCATTAATAAGACCAGCACCTGAGAACAACAGGTTGAGGCGAATATCAGATGGGGTGCTATCAACTGAGGGACTAGGCACCTCCACTGCCTCGACATAGTTCACGCGACGGGGTGGGGCCCAGTTGGGAGGGCGCTTGTTGGTGGAGACACCATGGACGTCGTACCACTCATCATCTCGCTTCTTGAAGCAAGTTGCCTCAGGGTGGTTGGTGCCTCCGCATTTCTGCCCCGCACGTGGGCCTTTCCTAATGATGTAGGGGCATGGGGGAAAGGAGTTGCGCCTTGGTCCTTGTTGGGAGCGGAATGGGATTCCAGGGGTGTAGCGCACAGCATTGACGGATGCTTGGGCTGCAAGGTCCTTTTCGGCGGAAAGGAGAGCTGATGCGACTTTTTCGAAGGTGAGTTCCTTGGTGGGAAGTTGCTTGAGCATGGAGCTGGTGACATTGTAGGCCGGGGTCAGTCCTACAAGTAGGCCAGCTGCAGGTGCTTGTTCGGGGAAAATGATCCCAATGTCCTTGAGTTCCTCATGGATGTTGCGGATTTCAGAGATGTAATCTGCCATGCCAGGGCATTCCTCAAGGCGGACCTGGAACATTCGAGGGATGAGGATGGCAACACCCACTGCTGTCTTGTCATGGAAACGGTCCTGGAGGTACTTCCAAATCGCATGAGCAGAGCGAAAGGTGCGGTAGGATTTGACGAGCTCAACCGGAGTGGTGGTGATGAAAACCCTAATAACTGCTGCATCTGCCTGCTCCCACACACTGAAATCAGTCTCGTACTTGGTGGTCGGAGCGTCAAAAGCGGCCTTCTCTGCGGCAGTGGCGCCTTCGGCAAGGGGATCGGGAGGGAGAGGCATCTTTCCCTTGCCGCGGTTGAGGAGGATGTCCTTAAGGCAAATCCCTTTCAGTTCCGTGCTAAGGAGGTGCTTCTCCACCCCATAGCACCATTCTCCAAAGTTGGTGCTCGTGCCGTTGGGAGCGAGGTTGAGAATGATGAGGTTTCCGACGAGGGTAGAAGTTGAAGTCGCCATTCGCGCGGAGCGCAGCGCTAAAGTCAACGATACAAAGCGGAGCGAAGTTCGGTGACGAAGCGGCTGCGCGCAGCGCGGCGATTTTGAAAATTGATGAAGTCTGAAATGCGGAAAGGTGCGATTTTGCCAATAAGATTGCGATTCCTGTTCTGCTTCTCTACTTCGCCGATGACCCCTTTTCTGCTGCGCCGATGACCTGTTCCGCTGCGCCGCTGACCTGTGCTGCTGCGCCGCTGAACCTGCTCTGCTGCGCCGCTGAACCTGCTCTGCTGCGCCGCTGAACCTGCTCTGCTGCGCCGCTGAACCTGCTCTGCTGCGCCGCTGAACCTGTTCTGCTGCGCCGATGAACCTGTTCCGCTGCGCCGCTGAACCTGCTCTGCTGCGCCGCTGACCTGCTCTGCTGCGCCGCTGAACCTGCTCTGCTGCGCCGCTGAACCTGCTCTGCTGCACCGATGAAAACCTGCTGGAAGTTTCGAATGTGAGGAAATTGCCACGGAAATTTGAAATTTCAGAGCTTACGATGAAGGAAATTGACGGAGAAATGTGCCGCCGTGGAAATCGAAAATGCACGTAGACGGAGCGGGAAAGCGCTTTTGACCAGTGCGACGATGTGAAGACGAAAAAATGCTAAGCGAAGAAGGCGTGAACCAAGAACGCCATAGCTGAGAGGAAGAGAATGATCGCGACGCCAAGGATCGGATTCCGCGTGAGCGGAATGTGCTAGCTCGATACCATGACGGAATTGAGACTGAACTGATTGATTAAGAAAGAAGGCACTAGGCCTTAAGTACAAACGAGGTTGGGATGGGCAAGGCTAGGGAAAGGATGGGATGGGAATCCTAGCAAATCTCCAATTGGTGAGTTGGCAGATTTGCAGGATTACGAGGGAATCCCAACCAGATAGGGTTGGGATCACAAACTACACCCAACCCACAAATAACCTACGCGATGTAGAATATAGTACACAAAGTGTTGACAGCCTAATTCTAACAACCACAGCACCTCGTCGCGAGAGATGCCGATGAGAGAGTAGTCGGAGTTTTGCCCCTGTATCTGAAGGGGTACGTATTAATGTGCCTATGTTAGGGTGGTGCCGCGAGGAGGGGTGGTTACCACAGCACCTCGTTGCCCGGGACGGCGAGGAGAGGGTAGACGGAGTGTTGCCCCTGTATTTGAAGAGGTACATGTGTTTCTACTTATGTCAGAGTGTGACTCAAATCATCCACGGTTGGTGTTGGAAGGAGGGGTGTTATACCACAGCTGCTGGTGGCAAACGATGGGGAGCAGAAGGCTGCCACTTGTTCTTATAGCTCTGGGCTATGTGAAGGTGCATCGCATAGGAAAACCAGTAAAAAGCAAAGAATCAGAGGACGTTCGACCATTTGCGGGCCCCGAATGTGGTGCCACGCGTTCATGCGGGCGGGAGGCTCATACCACCCAAAAATGTGTGGCTTTGTACAGTGGACACCCGAATATGGACACACATTCCTGTACAATGGACGATAACAGGAGCCTTCTCCTCTCCTCTGCGTTCCCACAGCCACTCCTACGAAGAGTATATGTTTGATCACTCGTGGGCCAATGCGTTCATGTGGGCGGGAGGGAACATTTTAACTTAAGTGTTGTGTGGCTTCTATTTAGACCACCGCTTTCTCGTCCCCCTTTTTCCTCCTCTTCCCCACAGGCACTCCTATGGAGTGTTTGATCACTCCTGGGCGAATGCGTTCATGAGGGCGGGAGGCTCGTACTACCCGAAGCTGCAGTCCTGCGTGACGTTCACGCCCGCCACCGGACCTCGCCTGCTGGTTCGGGACGGACCTGACCGCGAGGCTGTGCTGTCGGGGCGTGCCAGGCCATGAAGCAAGTGGCGGACGAGGTGAGGGGTGGATGGGGGAGGGTGGGACAAGGGGGAGTGGAGGAAGGAATGGTGGAGGGGGGTTAAGGAAACAAGGGGATGTTGTGCTGTCGAGGCTGTGCCAGGCCATGAAGCAAGTGGCGGTCGAGGTGAAAAGGGTGTGGCATGGCAAGGCATGGCATGCCATGGCCGTTTGGTGCTTGTTCCAACCCTTTGTCCTACCATTCCACTCCACGCCCCCTCCCACACATCACAGTACGGGTGTCATCGGTGCATGCCACGTTCCCTTGCAAGGACGACTGGCAGGTCATGGCTGTGTTTGTTTCAACCCTCACCCCATCCTCGCCTCTCCCCATCACCCCAACCCCACCACACCACACAGTACGGAGTATCATCGGTGCATGTGACATTCCCATGCAAGGACGACTGGCAGGTCATGGCCCGCCATGGCTTCCTGCAGCGCATGGGCATGCAGTACCACTGGAGCAACCGCGGCTATGGCAGGTGGGTGGGGAAGGGGGGTGATGGCAGGCAGGTGAGTGTGTTGGGGCGGCACCTTTCTCCCTATGCTGGCCTCCCTGCAACACATGGGCATGCAGTACCACTGGAGCAACCGTGGCTATGGCAGGTGGGTGGGAGGGCTATGGCAGGCAGACGGGGGAGAGGGATGCACACAGGGGTGGTAGGCAGGTACGGAGTGTGGGGTGTGAAATGAACCGCCATGGCTTTTTGCAGCTCATGGGCATGCAATAGCATTGGAGGTTGGGCATGCACACCATCACATCATGCATTGCCCGCACACCATCACGTCATGCATTGCCCGCACACCACCACATCATGCATTGCCCGCACACCATCACATCATGCATTGCCCGCACACCATCACATCATGCATTGCCCGCACACCATCACATCATGCGTCGCCCGCTCACCATCACATCTTGCATTGCCCGCACACCATCACATCATGCATTGCCCGCACACCATCACATCATGCATTGCCCGCACACCATCACATCATGCATTGCCCGCACACCATCACATCATGCATCGCTCGTGCACCAGCACCATCATGCGTTGCCCGCTCACCATCCTGACTTTTGCTGCACTCCTTGAGCTCTTGCTGATGCTTATTCTCGCACTCGAGAACCTCCAGTATTGGTGGAGTTTTTGTACTTAATGAGCAGGAGGACCTTCTTGGGCACTGTGTGCTTGCACAATGCAGAGAACGATTTCCGGATTCACTCTATTGTGAGCTGGTCGGATATAGATGCCTCCTTAAACCCCATTCACCCCATTAATCCCATTCAGACTTCCCTCTTTAAGTCTTATGCCATGAGTGCAGGAACCCAAGACCAAAGCTATACCCCTTATTAGGGTCAAAATCTCCACCACATGAAGCGATGCTTTAGGCTACCACACATTGTATTCGAGTATTGGCTGCTCAATAATTGCACATGGGTCTTAAGAAGCATATGATAGGTGAAATACAGTTGTTACAATCAAATAAATTGCTTTGCTGATTGGCATCCAGGCACAAAGGTTACTTCCCCCAAACACCCACCCACCCAAGCATCAACACCATACCCACAAACACCAACACGGTGCACACAAGCATCAATGCACACCCATGCAGAATGACCAAGAGTGAAATGAGCACTCCCCCTTGGTCACAAGCCTAAATTAAGTTCAGCAAGCAGAAGCCCCCTCATCTTCCCCCCACCACTACTACATGCTCCAATTCTTGGCAGCTGCCATGCCCGGTTTTGCTAGGTGTTGAGACCTTATGGAGTAGGATATTTCTGCAGAGAGAAGGACAAGGTGGGGAGGTGGCACAAGTCAGTCATACAGCACATGCACATGCGGGCGTGGTGGGCCTCGCATAGACTCTATAGCCTCTGCGCTGCAGAGGCACAGCCGGTACAGAGGGACAGCCGGTATGGCCGTTCCGTGCAACGCTCATCATGCTGCCATGACGGCGGCTGTGCCCCAGAGCCCATGCAGACGGGGATGAGGTGGGCAAGACCGGGCTGGAAATGAAGGCACATGCCGACATACTTGTGAAGCTTGCTCCCTCCAAAGGAACAGCTTGCATGGGCTTCCCATGACACGAATCATGCGCCGCACAGAAAGTACCTTGCACATGGTTTCATGGGTGTGTGTGTGCAGCGTACCAGCACCTCACCCTACATTATCGCCCTTTCACCAACACGAATCGCACTCTCACCAACATGCATCGCACTCTCACCAACCCGCATCGCCCTCCCACCATCATGCGTCGCCCTCTCACGAACAAGCGTCGCCCGCTCACCACTGTTCGCACTCCTTGATCTGTCGCTGACGCTTCTCCTCGCACTCGATAATCTCCTTCAGGCTGGGCGTGTTGCCTGTGAAGCCATAAAAGTAGGACTTCTTGGGCGCTGCGCAATCCCTATTCTTCACTGTGACGCACAAAGTGCCTGCGCATGGGCGACAGCGAAGGGGAAACTGCTGAATCGACTTCTTCACTTCGGGGTAAGGTCTCCTGAGACATCAAGGGAGGCAGGAGCACGTGGACGGCCGCGATTCACCTCACGCCGCGATTTGAGCTTCTAGGAACGAGCACCAGTTCCTTCGAACCAACTGCCAGTCGGTTATGCTCTTCACAGCACCAATGCTGCCCAGCCCTTGGCCAGCAGGCATCATAAGCTCCGTGAATACATTCACAGCACGGACAAAATGCAAAATAAACGAAATAAAAACATAGCAACCGCATGAAATCAAACAATAAACTTTTCCGGGCATGATCATTTACCATCCTTCGCAAACAGGTTTAGGCCTTTAGGAAATTGCCGAGGGGTAGTATTGCCAGGCTGAAGCTTGCGACGGCTAAGCTCGCCCCCCGCGCTGGACTGAGAAACACTCGGCGCGCTCTCTACCGTGATGTCGCCGGCGGTGCCTACGGCTCCCGACGCACCTGCCGCCACGCCATGCCGACACATGGATTCGCGCAGGGGACGAGGGGACAGCGGGACGGGGTGAGGGGAGTGATGGGGAGGGAGTGAGTGGCAGGCGGAATAACCTCACATGGAGCCAACTTTAGCTTCTCGAGGTGCGCATCACCATCGCACGGACCATCGGTAGTCATGCATCGGCGAGGTCTGCGACTTACCATAGGAAGTCATGCAATCGACGAGGCCTGCGACCTACCATCGTTACTCATCCCGTTGCCAAGAAACCGAGCAGATCGAGCGGCAGCAGCCGTGGAAGCAAGTGATGCGAGAGTGATGGTGACGGCAAGCAGGAGAACGAGAGCAGTAAGCAGGCGCGCCATGACCACGAGCTAGTAAAGAATCAGGAAGTTAGGAAGCTACGAAGCGTGACACTGGTTTTGGAAGGAAAATGGAGTGTGTATTTGTGTGGTGTGAGAGGGCGGATTGTGGTGGATGTGAATGGGCAGAAGCGGAGTTTCTCAGACTCAGCGCTTTCACCAAATGCGAATCACAATCCCCAGCGAATCACCATCCAGAAGTTGGGTGAAACGCGTTTGAACTAAAATTCATTTGGATGAGTTGCTTGACTTGCAGTGGATGCTGGACGGTGTGGTATGCTAGACACGTTTCCAGTGCGGTAAAAAGGGATACAAGTAGTTTGCTCGAATCACAAACGAGTACCAGCAAAAATTGATCGCGTTCACGAATGGATGTGTGGCGCTTGACCAACTGAATACATTTTCTATTTCACCCTGACTGCCCGATCCGAAAGTACCAGTGGGAACTGATCCCCAAACAGGTGGGGATCCCGATTCCAGATTCAGTTAGCAACGGCTAGCTACAAGACTCGGAGCCTCAAACATTGACTCACGGACTGAATGATCAGGTCTTGAAACGAAGTTTTGAATCAGGGTCCTTAGTCCAGGAATGAAATTCACGTGAACGTCCATACCCATGACAACCGCCAGTTCGTGCAGATCACCCAGGAAAATACGTGACCTGAGTGCTCTACGCCCAAAAAAATAATCGAATAGCCGTGAGATGCGGGGAGTCTGATAAAGAGAATTGTATGAACTACATGTTAGCAAAACAAAACCACATATACTGAAATTTCAAGAGAATCAATGTTTCCTCCTCGTGCTTTCAAGCCTCCAGGCATCTGTCTCGCTCCGTGATTAGCATCTGCTTCGATGCTTCTACTAGCATGGTCCTTTCTCAAACCGAAAGCGCCAGCGGAGACGTCGCGTTTGAGTGCTTTTAGATGCTAATCTAGTTATTCAATGTAAGCGTCTACTTAGGCTTTCATACAAGTAAGCTGGTCGTATTTTTTATATGGTCATCGCGGAAAAGGGAAGTGCGAAAAGCAACTTGAAAGTAACAAAACCGCAACTCAAGGGTTACTTGAAAAACGCAAGAAAAAAGTCAAGGTTCAAAATCGTGGGTGCTGAAGTGACTTGCGAAGCAACTTTTCCGTCACCTTACTGTCACAAACTGCATACCAGTTCGCAACTAACCCGGTATGCAGTAAATCAACCTCAAAGTTGCGGAAAGTCACTTCTGAGCAACCACTGCAAAAGTGTCACGAGTACGCCACGTGGCATACAACGTACTCGAGATGAAACTGAAACATGCCGACGTGGCTGACACTGTACGCTAATGATAACCGTCGGATCGGATTCATAACGACGCACGAAAACTAGCCACGTGGACCAATCAGACAAGAGTTTATAGAATGCGATATCGAAATTTTATTGGCTGGCGAGTGGAACAGCGACAGTTTCGATTTGCGCTTCTGTCTTATTGGTATGCGTTTTTTAGCACAAATAAAATATACAGTATACATAGTTTGTATAACAAGGCTTGCGCACGCACAATCTACCCAACCATAGTAAAATTACTACCGTAACGCGCAGCTAAAAAGATGTATGAACTCCTCTAATAAGAAACTGAATATAATCTGCACAAATAGAGACATGAAAGTCGTGTTAAACAAGTATAACAAGTCTGCCATTCCACCACTCACCATTGGTGTTAAAAGATGGAGTATGCTCAACGGTGAAAAACATGCATCGTACGATTCTGGTTGACGAGGACTGCATAAACTGGTTGGAGCTGCAAAGCATGCACACACACGCATTCCGCTGACATTGCGCCATAGGGATGTAAGGAGTTGCAATATGAAAAAAACAGTAAAAATTACGGAACATAGGAACTGCATGTCAGAACTTTATATAGCTTATGCTGTTGTGTAGGCTATAGTGGGGTATCCCATAGGGGGTACAACCCAATTAGGGTTTCCTATATGTACTCACTTCATTCATAGTTCATTCATTCTCATTCTAGTTCCTTTCACAAGGTTTCAGAGCGGTTACGCTCTCGGCCTGTGGGTACTACTGCTTCCGCTGCTACATGCTCTGTCGCACGCCCCGTGGCGTGCGACGCATTTTCGTAGGCGCGCGGCGATTTGCACTTTGGCGCGCGCCTCGGGGCGCGCGGCCTCTTTCTTTTCTGGCGCGCCGCCCGTCCCGGCCCTTAGACGCCCGCGCGCCCCCCGTCCCGGCCCTTAGACGCCCGCGCGCCGCCCGTCCTGGCCCCTAGCCGCCCGCGTGCCGCCCATCCTGGCCCCTAGCCGCCCGCGCGCCGCCCGTCCCGGCCCTTAGCCGCCCGCGCGCCGCCCGTCCCGGCCCTTAGACGCCCGCGCGCCGCCCGTCCTGGCCCCTAGCCGCCCGCGCGCCGCCCGTCCTGGCCCCTAGCCGCCCGCGCGCCGCCCGTCCTGGCCCCTAGCCGCCCGCGCGCCGCCCGTCCCGGCCCTTAGCCGCCCGCGCGCCGCCAGTCCCGGCCCTTAGACGCCCGCGCGTCGCCCGTCTTGGCCCCTAGCCGCCCGCGCGCCGCCCGTCCTGGCCCCTAGCCGCCCGTGCGCCGCTCGTCCCGGCCCTTAGCCGCCCGCGAGCCGCTCGTCCCGACCGCGCGCCGCTGCTCCAGCCCGTCGACGCCCGTGAGCCGCCCGTCCCGGCCCCACGCCGCCCGTGCGCCGCCCGTCCCGGCCCCGCGCCGTCGTCCCGGCCCCCACTTCGCCCGTGCGCCGCCCGTCCCGGCCCCACGCCGTCGTCCCGGCCACCACTCCGCCCGTGCGCTGCCCGTCCCGGCCCCACGCCGCCCGTGCACCGCCCGTCCCGGCCCCGCGCAGCTGCCCCGGCCCGTCGCCTGCTGCATTGCCGAGCCGCCCCACCGAGCCGCCGAGCAGCCCAGCAGCCGAGCCGCAGTCGAGCTGCAGAGCAGCCGAGCCGTCCGAGCCGCCCGAGCCGCCCGAGCCGCCCGAGCCGCCCGAGCCACCCGAGCCGCCGAGCCGCCCGAGTCGCCCGAGCAGCCGAGCCGCCCGGGTCGCCCGAGCCGCCGAGCCGCAGTTGCTGCAGTGCCGCCGTGTCGCCGAGTCGTCGAGCCTGCTCTTCCCACCACTGGTGAGCCCCTGCCTTACTAGCGCGTTGCCTGCAGCTTGCTTGGCTGCCTGCCTTACTGCTGCTACTCCTGCTCCTGCTTCTACTGGCGGCGGCCAGATGCAGCTCCAGCGACGCCCACGCGCGTCTCTCACGCCCCACCAGCTTCGTGAGTGGTACGCTCAGAGTAGAGGGTCTCTCAGTTGTGTTCGCTGCTCTTACGTGATTCGCACTGGTGCTCGGACTGGTCAGCCTTGTGGGACGCCTAGTCATACACCGTCCCGCTGCTTCGCCCGTCTGAACGACGCCTGGCGTACCGAGTTTGGCGACGAGGCTGAGCTCCCCGACTGGGTGGAGTTGCTTAGGCAGAGGGTAGATATATTTGCTCTTGACTATGATACTATTCTCACTGCCATGTATGCATTGCCTACTAGTGCTGACCGTGCCGGTCACCTGTGCGTACCGCCTGACCCGGGTATAGAGCCTGCTGCTCTAGCTACTGGTGCGGCTGCTACTCTGGGTGCTAGTGTGTCTCCTGCTCCAGGTACAGGTGCGGCTGTGTCAGAGTATTATAGCTGATGCATGTTTGTAGGCTATAGTGGGGTAGCACATATGGGGTACAGCTTTCTAGGGTTGTATTTGTACCCAATCTTTCCTTAGTCATTTCATTCCTGTTCTCTTGTTTCACATGGTATAGAGCGGGTCCTTCCTTAGGACCGTTTTTTTAGGGCCCACCGAAGCGCGCCCCGAGGCGCGCCCTTTTTTTTTAGCGACCCCTCGGGTCGCCATTTCCCTCGCGGCCCCGCTGTCCCTCAGACGCGGCCCCGCCACCCCTCCTGATCGCGGCCCCGCCGCCTGCTTGGCGCGGCTCCGCCGCCGGCTCTGACGCGGCCCTGCCGCCAGCTTCGTCGCGGCCCCGCCGCCTGCTTGACGCGGCCCCGCCGCCTCCACTGACGCGGCCCCGCTCCGCCGGCCCTGACGCGGCCTTGCCGCCCGCTTCGTCGCGGCCCCGCCGCCTACTTGACGCGGCCCCGCCGCCTCCCCTGACGCGGCCCCACCGCCGGCTCCGCCGCTGCACCCTACGGCCCGCCGCTGCACCCTACGGCCCGCCGCCTCACCTGACGGCCCCGCCGCTGCACCTGCCGGCCCGCCGCTGCACCTGCCGGCCCGCCGCTACACCTGCCGGCCCGCCGCTGCACCTGCCGGCCCGCCGCTGCACCCAGCGGCCCGCCGCTTCACCTGACGGCCTCGCCGCTGCACCTGCCGGCCCGCCGCTGCACCCCACGGCCCACCGCTGCACCCTACGGCCCGCCGCCCCACCTGGTCGGCCCGCCGCTGCACCCTACGGCCCCGCCACTGCACCTGTCGGCCCGCCACTGCACCGGTCGACCCGCCGCTGCACCTGACGGCCCCGCCCCTGCATCTCCCGGCTGAGCCGCCCCAGCAGCAGAGCCGCCCCAGCAGCCGAACCCCCCGGGAGCCGAGCCGCCCAACGCCGAGCCGCCCGGGACCCGAGCAGCCCTGCTGCCGAGCCGCCCGGGAGCCGAGCCGCCCTGCACCCGAGCCGCCCTGCCG